CTGATCTCTACATCTTCTGGGACGATGGTCATAAGCGAATGAGTCTCATCTAACCCTTCACCACGGCACCAGCGTTTTAACTCTGACACTAGTTCTGTTTTTTCCATCTTTATTTTGTTGGTATAAAGCTTAGCTCTTAAATTAGTTATTTTAACTCTGAAACTTTTTTAAAATAACCTTTTTTATTTTTTTAAGACTGAGAAATCCAAAACTATCCCAGCGGTGCCTCCATTTTATGTAGCGCTCCCCTCAGTAATCATAGAGATGAGGGCAGGGCTTTTGGGTTCGTCTAAAAAATAAATGTCCAAATATGCTTAAACCTGATTAACTCACGTTTAATATTTGTTTTGAATTTCTCTTTTTAAGTTTATACCAATGGACTATACTAACTTACCTTTGAACTAACAAGTTTAATCAAGATTATACAACCAAAATTAAATTAATTACTCATTTAAGGTAATAAAATACACCACACACTGTTTTAGAAAATCAATTCTCAATTATTTACTGAATACCAAATGATTAAAGCAATGTAAAAATGAAATTAAAATATCAGAGCTTCTTATTCTTTAAAGAGAACAAATATTCAAAATAAATACTTTTATATTGTTAAACTCTGGATGAATTCTTCTTTTGTTTACACAGGAACTGTAACTTAATTCTCCCTCTTTTATAGAAAATTATCAAACTGAAATGTTTTTTTCTAGGTTAATGAGATATCCTAATTTTTTGTTTATTAAAACACTGAACCAGAAATATGCACAAATAATAAAAACCTAAATTTTGTGGGCCCACACACCTTAGTACTAAAGCCGGCAATCGTATTAGTTTTTTTAACCAAATGGGTACCCTTTAGTGTTCGGTGCAGGCCTGGGTGTAGCTTGAGTTCGTTGAAACCTCAGAACACACAGCTGGATGGTAGAAAAAAGTGAGTTGAGAAGAAAGTCCGTCCAGAGGAAAATGACGACCCTTTCACTGCCGAAGATGCGGTGCTCGCTCGTCGTCTGCAGCTCCACGTGCCTCTCTAACAGTCTCTGCCACACAGTTAGCTTGCTGCTAGCTTAGCAAAGTTCTGTCTTTTCAGGTTGAGTAGCTCACTCAAACCAACAAAAAAGCGTCTTATAAATCTTCTGGAGAGTCCGTGTTGTTCTTCTCCACAAACTTGGTCAAAACATCTGTTTAACAGTCTCTTTTCGTTACTCTTTCTTTAACTGCTTCTTCTCGCTTTTCTCTCCAGTCTCTCTCCTTCTCACTCTGCTCCGTTCTCCCACCCGTCCTGTTACGTTCCGGCCTGTCTACATTAACCCCATAAATGCTGGTTTAAACAGTTTTACAGATACATACAGATACAGATTAATTTTTTACATTTTAAAGAAAAACAATAAACATAATAAGCATAATACTTATTTTAAAAATGCTTTTAACATGTTTAGAACCTTTTAATGAATTTCAAACCTTTTTTAATCAGACTAATTATTTAATTTGTGAACTAGTATTAATCAATGTTTTTAACCGGGTTACACATGGAATAAATTCCCCACAATTTCTGTTCAAAATATAAGTTTATTAACAAAAATCATTCAGCTCCAACAAGTCTAACATATTTCAGTTTAAAACTCTTAACTAAAACTAGTGAAACTCAACTAAACTAAACTACTATGTATAAAAAGAAAGGGGAAACATGGTTGAAAACTATATTACAGTGTCGTGGAAAATGTCCTCCCAACGACTTAAAATTGGTACTAAGTCTTATAAAAATTCTAAGTTCTTAAAAAACAGTTGAGAAGTCTTCAAACAATGATCAAAAATTAGGCAGAGGCAGCTGGGTCCAGGTCCAGAGTGGTTTATTGCAAAATACAGATGAACCACCCGAGATGCATACCGGTAAAACTTCTGACTTACATGCAGAAAAAGGCCCTCTTTTATACACTCGAGGAGCATTATTTTTAAAGCCTTTCTTTTGATCTATCAAAGCCTTTTCTTTACACTTTCATGGTGACATTTATTGCAGTTAAATCAAAACTCAATATGTCAAAACAACGCTTTCATCATCCAGTGTGACTTATGTTTTCATAACATCTCATTAAAAAAGTCGGCATAACATTAAAACTCATAATCTTAGTAACACATCACTTGTATGTCGCTCAGTACCTGCTCAGTACCGCACAGTATCACTTTGGATATGACAACTCATATATCACAATTAGTGCAGCTGGCCTGTGCAACCTTGATATGTCCAAATAATTCATTTTTAATGAGTGTGACTTCATCATCAAAAGGCCTTATCTCTGTAGCTCTGCAGTACCAACACCTTGGATTCAATCCAATATTTCTGTCCCCTTTCCAAAAACCTGCATCTTACTTGGATCCCAAAACTTCAAAGGGCCAGCTGCAGAGAGCCTTACACACACTGCTCTCTTTCTCTCTCTTTGGCCTTAATAACATAAATGTATTTATTGTGAAACAACTCTATATGCATTGTAAAACATTTAATTCCATTTTATTCTAATCATTGGTGCAGATTAATTCACTACAACAGTTTAAGATGGATCTTGTGTTTGAAAACCAAAGTTTATTTGGAGGAATTTGGGATATAATCATATTAGCTTTTCACTAATTTGGAGAAATTGGAATGTTTTCCGACCAGTTCACAATGCAAATCCATGAGGTGAATAAAACATTATTTGACCAAATAATGTTTTATTAAATGATTTGCTTAATCAGGAACCAATACCCTTTAGTTAATGATTCTTTACCCTCTTTGAAATAGCTAGCAGCATATAGACAGGAGGATTCCACTACATGACTCTTGGTCATACTTGGCAATCGAAATGTAATCAGCATATGAGGAAGACGTAAACACTAATGTTATATCAGTGTTAAACCCTTAGTGAAATTAAGCTTGTCCAAGCTTCAACAACAGCTCAAAACATGTTACTGTAGCATAGCATAGATACCATCCTATTAGCTTGTCTTTACCCATCAGTAAACACATGACATGTTCAACATAATCAAAAGACATATTGTTTGTTCTGTCCTTTATTGTGCCAAACCTGCATACCATTTTTGTCCATGTCAATTTAGAAGGTTGAGTTTCATCCAGCAGCAGCTTAGCAATCAGGGTAACAGCAACCAGGGGTATCTTTGTCTCAGGCTAACACCAGGGGTCCTTCTCATCCAGTCTGGCACTGTAAGTTCTGAAACTCAAGAGAAACGTGTTGCAAAAAGTCTGTTTTGCAGCAGTCTGGTGCTGAATGGTCAACCATGATGACTTATCTGTGATCATTCTGGAGATCTGGGTCTTTTTGGGCCTGGGTCTCCATCAATCTCCAATTTGATGGTGACCCTTCTCAAGTGGACTTCAGCACCTTCATGGGGAAAAAGAGCGGAGGGGAAAGAGGGAGAATCCTGTGTGGTCTGTGGTTTATTCTGTCCTCACACAGAGGGGGGTGGTTGGTCACACCTCTGTAGGAGTTCCTGTGGCTGAGAGAGGGGGGTTGCAGAGTTCTTATAGCTGCTTGTTCACCAAACTTTTATCCTCTTCTCTCATCATCATGTCAAGATGGTTCCCAATGTCCACAATGCATTATCATGGCATATGGCATAACACTCCCAAACTCTGGAATTATCTGCCACTGTGTATCAGGCAGGTTTTCTCTTAGATCATTTTTTAAAATCTCTTTGAAATTCTCATTTTTTTCTCTTTAGCGTTTAATGCTATAAAAGATGTCGGTGCTGGATGATTTAATGTTTTTTTCTTTTATTCTCTGTATTTTTTTTTTACTTAATTCATTTAATACTGTATTTATTAATCTTAGTGCATTTAATTGGTCTTGTTAGTTTTTAAAGTGGTATATAAAAAAGATGGATTGGATTAGATTTTACTTTGTGCATATGATGAAAGATTTAGGAGTTAAAGCCTTTTCATTTTTCTTTTTCTATAGTGACCATCTGAAGTTTCTAAATGGCCACTTTGGAAAACATAACCAAACTAAAACCTCATTCCATAGCTATTGAATTTGGCATTACTTCCCCTTTTAATACCCAAATCCATACATAAGCTCTAAGAACAGGTATGTAAAAAAACACAAAAAAAACTAAATACAGATGAGTGAAAAAAAGATTTTCCATAACTCAAAAACTTTTACTGCTTTTTACTGCTTAGGATTTGCCATAAATCCAATTGAACATTTGGAAACTATACTAAAACCCATGGCCTGTGTCAGGAAACCAACTCCACACAGAAAGCCCACACTCTTATCTTCAGGTAACACAGAATAGATGTCAGACTAAATAATACTACTTCAGCGACAGTTTCAAGGTGTTGCTTTATTGTATGTCTGGTACCATGTCTTTCGGTTGTGCTGTTCTTTTTGCATCTCATTGCAGGTGATAAAGCAGACTGAAAATGTTTTGTCATTGTCTCCTTTCTGGTTCCTCTTTCTTTAATCACTTCTCTTTTTTTATCTCTTTCTTCTTCTGTTTTTCCTCTTCTGTTCTATTTACATTGCAGTGTCCATATAATCTGTAAAACTCCCTACATAGTTATAATGAAGCAATTTATTTGCATGAAACAAGTGGAGCAATATGGCAATTGCCATACTACTTACAATTATTCTTATTGCCACATTGCCAGACAGGATACTGTAAAAAAAAATGGAAACCCACTGAGTTGTTATGATTACCATGTTGAAGACTAACAAAAAGCATGTAGCCCAGTTTCTGAAGAAGTACTCACTGAATATAAGTGGAGTTTATATACAGTTTCCATCCATCCATCCATCCATCCATCCATCCATCCATCCATCCATCCATCCATCCATCCATCCATCCATCCATCCATCCATCCATCCATCCATCCATCATCAATTTGAAAAATACTTTATTTATGAAACAGGTCACCTTTGAAAAAAGTATAATTCACATTTTAACTACCATCAAGTCATTATTTTCTTTTAACATTGATTTTTTTTAGGTTTAGGAAGGTGCTGGACACTTAATTACTTTATACTTGCTTTTATTCAACATTCTTTATTTTCAAACAGCAATGCAATGATGAGAATTTTGCAGAATGTTGCTTGGTCATTACTAACCAACGCTTTACATTAGTAACAAATCCGCTAAGAGGAAAAGAGTACATTTGTCAAATGAATGATGGCTCTGGCTTAAAAAGTAAACTTGGCACCACCTAAACTGCTTTTATCAGCTAACAAAATAGTGCAGAAAAAAACAGTGGCACCAACAAGAGCAGCAGGGCAGGACTTGCACTGCTGGCACTGTTGCAGTAGTCTCCCTGGCAGCAACTATACTGTAGACCACTGTACATTGTTAGCAGTGAAGTCACTTGATCTGTGCACATCAGCTTGGAGGCGCATCCCTTCAGTTCCACTCTAACTCCTGCTGCATTTGCTAAAAAAAAAAAAAAAAAAATGGAATTTATCAGGAGAGTAACATCTTCAGATATTTTCTTAAAATTCTTCTAAAGCTACTAAGCTTCAAGACAAACATATAACATGTAAAAACATGCTGGCCACTTACCTGTCATTTTGATGCAGTGGTTTTCCTCCCCTTCGCAATTAACAGTCCGGGTGCAATCCTCTCCCTTGCAGCTGAAGCACTTTTTGCCATTTGGAATGGATTTATAGTCTAAGAAACAAGATAGTTATTCATTGAAAGGAGATTAAGACTTATTAAATATTTCCCTTTCAACTTTCATTTTTTTTTTTTATTCCATTTTTACTTCAATGTGTAAAAAAGTTATACATCTTCAGTAGTAAATGCTTGTTAGTTTAAATCTCTTCACTACTGCAGTATTAATATAAAAACAAAAAAAAACAGCTAAGAATTAAACTACCTTGAAATCTGTTGTTGCAGAGGGGTGTTGTGCAGCATGAGGTCATGTGTACAGTTCTGACAATTCCAAAGTTAATGGAGCCATCAACACACTCTTCAGACATAGCACAACCTTTGGCTGTCATGTCAAAAATCTTGTTTTCTCCTAGGACAAAGAACACATACATTTAAGTCAGTTCCAAACTAGGGTCCAAAAACCGTGTGAAACCATACAGTTACACACCTTGATATGAGACTGCTCTTGTCGCTAGACACTGGTACTTCTGTGAGGGACATTCTGTTTTTTTCTCTTTGCATGTCCCATCGACACTCATTGGACATTCATAGCATTGCAGGGCATCAGCTGCTTAAAACAATAAGAAACCACACTTCTTTGTAAGCAAAGTATAAATTACACAATGTTACGTAAATTTCTTGGTGCAAACGGGACAAAAAAGGCTGAAACAGTGCGAGAAGGAAAAGGCTACAATTTGTTACAGGATAATTACAGGATAATAACAAAAGCTGCAATGACATCATATATATATATATATATATATATATATATATATAGAGAGAGAGAGAGAGAGAGAGAGAGTTTTTAATGTGTAATAGTTATAAAACCCCTAATTCACTTAAACTTTTTTTTAACATTGTCTTCTAAAACACACAGAATAGGCATTGAGGCTCTTACAGATTAGTGCAACACCGTCTAAGTCAACCCAATTGAGCTTATCTTAAAATATGCTAAAATACAATTTAAATGAAAGGTCTGAAAAATTAGAAAATACAAGAAAAGCTTAACCTAATGAAATCGCATCAATTTATGAAAAAAATAAATAATAGCATTGAATTTAATCAACAACTTACTTTTTGGGAGAAAAAACACCCCGATAAACAACAACATGAACATTTTGTTGCCTCTACACAAGTGAATTCCACTTTTCTCAGTAAATATATACAGAACTTTTTCTGGGAGGGGCTTATCTCATAGACCACTAGTTTTATTCTTCATAATCAACTTATGTAGCTGTTTGAAATTAGTCAGATATTCCTGCTTGTTTTTTTTATTTGTAGGTTTTAATCCTTTTGATTATACTTTTTCTTTAAGTTTTTTAACTTCTAGATTCAATATTAATATTCAATTTCATGCTTTATACACCTTTTTTGTTGTAAATACCAAACTAGATTTGATCCTTATATGAGCATCCAATGTTATGATACTTGTCTTTCATAAGAAAGAATAAGCAAAAGTAATTAGATAATTTCAATTGAATCATCATACACACAGTCAGTTTGGCTTTCTTGAATGAAAATGGGACCTAAGGTATGTTTTCAAGGAAGCAAATGCAAGAAAGCTTTTGGATCCTCAAAGTAAAGAGGAAAGTTTTAAATTTATTTCAATAATAGTGGTCCGATACAAATTTTCATCACATGGAAACACCAAAAGCAGTAGCAGAACAGGAAGCAGAGTCGTAGGTTAACACATCCCTCTGCAGCTTCTCTGACAAGTTGCGTTTTTTAGAGTATTGTTTCCTATATCTTAGATTTAAGGAATTAATATGGCACTATTCCTATAGTGTTGAAAACAGTCCGTGTTCAATTTATAAAACAAATACAACTGTATTTTTCTCAGATGGTTTTACACAAGCATGAATAGATAGGTTTAATTTCTTCTTTACCCGAACACAGGTTTCTTTTGTTCCTGATGTGCCTCTAGGTCATGCCTGGTCACGTTATTTCTAACTCAAACATATCAGTTTCCTTTTATGAGAAATGAAACCTTAGCATTGCCCCTGAACTGACAAAAATATTTGTGGTTTTAAACAATAGTAAGAAATCATGTTTGACAGGACTTAATAAAATGAAAGGTTGCTGAGCTTCCATATTAATGATTAAATAAAAAAATTGTTAATATTATTTATATCTGTATGTTTTGGCAGCAAAAGAGGAAAAAATCCCTATTAGGCAGTTGTTGATGTGTGATCTGCCTCCCCAGGATTTCTACATACTGTGTCCGTTTTTGTTGGTCCACAGAAGCTGAAAGGTTATGACCTTTCAGCTTTTGTGGACTCTGGAGCTGATACAGGGTTCATGGATGGGGACCTGGTCAGATGGCTTGGTATTAAAATTCTCCCCTCACTGGACTCTTATTAAGGTATTAGTCTTAGATGGCTATCAAGTTAACCAGTCATTGCTTATGACCAAACCGGTTTAGTGAGTTGTGGGGGAAAAATCATGCTGAGCTAAATTCTTTTTTAGTTGATGGTGAAGGTTCTCAGTCATCCAGGTCATAGTCATTCCTAAAAAATTAAAACAAATCCATTGGATGTGGTTTCCAAGTTTGAAGACGTTTCACTTTCCATCCAGAAAGCTTTTTCAATTCAAAATGTCAGGAATAGCGTTAAGTTCGAGGTTGTATACAGTACCCGAACACGGCTTGTTTTTGTTTTGAAAACATGCAAATTGGAACAGACAAATGGTGTTGGAATGGGGGTCGTTTGGCTTCTTTTGTTACACTGCAATACCCCATGCCCATATAAAGGTCGGTTGTTAAAGGGGATTGTCGGACTGGCTGATTCAACAAGGTCCTCCATTCTCCTGTACCGGGGGTGGGGCTGGGACGATAATGGGACGGGATTAACTCAATAGCTGCATTTTAAGTTTTTGGAAGCTGGAACCTGATTCCACCCCCTCTGTTTAAGGTTGGTTTTTCTTTCTTAACATAGATGGCTGCCTTCACACCCCTCTCAAACCACCCATTTTCTTTCTCCAAAATGGGAACATTCTGGTCCTCAAATGAATGTCCTTTGTCCAAAAGATGTAGATGTACCACAGAGACTTGTCCAGAAGAGGTGGCTCTTCTGTGTTGGGCTATGCGTTTGTGGAGAGGTTGTTTGGTTTCTCCAATAAAAAGATCAGAGCATTCCTCACTGCATTGAACTGTGTACACCACCCCGCTCATATTCGGTTTGGGGGTTTTGTCCTTGGGATTTTAATTGAATTTATTTATTTATTTGACAGGGACAGTCTACACTAAAAAGCATTCCTGCAAATGCACCAAAATTAGCCAAAAGGCAATTTTTTTTATCTGTTGTCGCTGGACAGATCTTAAAATTGTCTAACTAAAAAGAAACACAACAATAAGCATTTTACAATGAAAAATACTGACATAAAAAGAAATAAAAACAGCTATAACTCCTCAAAACTGATTTAAAAATACAGAATAAGTGTTCTGGCCAGGTCAAGACCCGCAATTGCAATCGCACCAAACAGGAAAAAGAACATTGAGAAATTCCGGTTCGTCAAATTAAAATATAGTAGCAAAGATCGGTAACTAGAAATTATAGCATAATACATATATAAACTAAAAAACTAACACCGTTTTTTTAAATTATTGGATGTAAACTATTGGTTATTCACCAAGGAGGAAGCAGATGCCTCATCTCCATCAAAATATTTATTTTATACCGAGGGACTTAAAGTTTAATCAAATCCATTCAAAAGACGCTTCTTATTACAGGAATGGATGAAGAGATGCTGAGTTTGGGAGTAGAGAACAAACAAAGTTCATTCAAAAAAAGCAGTTTTGAATTATCCTAGTTATCCCCGTTACAAAAATCTACAAAAAAAAATAAAAAATCTCGGCAGAAACTGAACATATGCTGGATGATGGTGGGATTTTATTAATATGCCATATTAAATTAAACGCTCACAGGGTACAGACAGGAATGAGTGACACTCATTTAATGCTATTTTAATGCTATTAGAAATTATTTTAATGCCATCAACAAGTAGCATGTACACAAGTTATTAGTGTACATGAAATATGAAGGAGCTGTAAGCACAGTACCATGACTCTTGTATGCATGTAAACACACACACACACACACATATATATATATATATTCTCTAGCTTTTTCTCCGCCTCGAGCTTCCTTTCCGAAAATACGGCTTTATGATCAGTTCCACACAAATTAATTAATTAATTATAAATGCCACGATAAACATATTTAATTCATTTTAGTGCCAATTAAGGCCTTGATTAAAAAAATAAATAAATGAATGAATTGTAATAATTTTTAATGATCCGTGGAAACCCTGGTTCATCTCGTGCATGCCCTCTAGGATCTCCAAGGAACTCCGAGCGGAGCGGACGGGAGCCACTGCGGAGGCTGTAGGCTTTGCTTTGTGCAGACGGTCTGGAGTGCAGTTGGGCGGAGCGCTGACAGAGTATGTGGGATTTCGGGGTAACCCACAGCACATAAGGCCCTACTTCCAGGTTCAATCTGAGATTGTTTTCATCTATTGATATATATATTGATCATCTAATTTGTGTGTGTATATTCTATCAATTCATATCCATATAAATCATATAATATAGCTCATTAACACGTATATGTAACCAATACTCTTTCTATTAGAAAATAAATATACAACTATTAATCATAATTTTCTTCGTTGTGCTTATTCACACCCCTTGACTCTGTAGCCGAATCTACTTCTGAGCTCATTTGGCAGTCAGTCAAGCCCCAAGTGTTACATATGGCTTGTTAATGATAGATATTCAACTAATACTGACATGGCTGATGTGTTATGAGCCAATTTTTTAGTAGTGCGCCCTGTTCCTTTAAAAAGAGGACGGATCCCTGACCCAAACAGATTGCTCCACAGATGCTACAGCCAAAGCTGCTCCCAGCTGCTCCTCGCTGTGGCTTCTCTGTTGTTTTTTGAAAAAAACCCACCTTGACACTCCACCACTGCTTAATTTACTCTGATGCCTTCACCATAGATCACTTTACCTTCTTTCAACTCGGAAAGTTTGTTTTCATCTATTGGCTCATGCTTTATTGTTCATTCAAACTTACTGATAACTTAAATAATACCTCAGATTTACAACTCATAACCTGGTGGACATTCCCTATATCCTCTCCCAAATCATCTACTCTTCGGTGAGTCAAAATATATTTTTATTCCTTATTTTGAGTTTGATGTGGCAGTACACCGGTTGCATGCTACGCTAACATGGGTAGTTAATAGTTCCCAGACACGCCCACAGCCTCACTCAGACTCTTATTTTTGATTAATTCGGAGGGAAACTTTTCCCCAACCAAGAAGCAATAAGATTTTCCCAAGCAGTAAATGTATTGGTCATACATTATTTTATGGTTGGGTTTATTATAGAACTTTGTCTGGAACTTTT